ATGTACAATTTTGAGCTATTTAGTAAAATTTACACTTTAATTACTTGAAAAACGTAAGGTTCTATGTTACATTGATAAACAAAAAAATACAAATCGAAATATACTACTATACTACATAATTTAAAGAATATTCTACAACTTTCTCAAAATATTGTAGATGTTGTTGTTGGTTGTTAATTATAGTAGTATATTTCGATTTGTATTTTTTTAAATACAAATCGAAATGTATGTGCTTCAAACAGTTTTACGTAAACATAACACTCTAAAATACGATCCAAAAAGACAGCACACACGCAGGTCCTATAAAATTTGTCCTGCAGTCACATGCAGAACTGCCCTTGCCAGGAGACACTTTCGTATTATCGCAGTTCATCTTTACAACACCTTAAACAAGCAATGCCAGATTCATCACCTTGCGAAAAGACTATGCAAAACCAAAGTAATGAACTGGTTACTTGAACAGGATTACGACAAAACCGAGAAGTTAATGAGATTCACAGTGCTATAAAATTAAATACAGACACACAACACACACACACACAACAACAACACACAGAAAGAGACACACGCACGCACATACGCGTCTTATCATAAGTCTACAACTGTGAGAAGAACTGGTACCCATGACTTAAGTTAAATCTTACAATGGGTGCCAGAGCTTAAAGGAGTGAAAACTTAAGCAGTCGGCTTAAGTTTTCACTGATGCTGTTGTGATAATATGTATGTATGTAATCATTGTACTTCTTTTCTATGTCAATAAAAATTATTATTCTTATTATTCTCTTTATTTTTTTTATATACATATTAATACATTTTTAAACATACACTTTATAAAAAATTATAAAAAAATACATTTAAAAATATAAAAATTGTCGACCACCGACATCGGGTACAGGGACCAAGACACCGGTGGTTAGGACTCCAAAGATAGGAACCTCCTCACTATACGAGCCGTGTCAAGGAGGACTGCCTTCTGCATTAGACCCTTGATCCAGTCGTCGAACGTGAGCCTCTTAAGGTGTTGGTCGAGGCTCTTGGCTATCAATCCGTGAGCAGATACGACTATCGGAACAATGATCACTGAATCAACATTCCACATATCGACAATTTCGTGAGATAAATCCAAATATTTGATTTGTTTTTCTTTTTCAACTTTCACGAGATTCTCGTCATGAGGAACGGCGATATCAACAATCATTGCGCGGCGCTCTAATCGATCTATCAGCACAATCAGCAAAAAAAAATCAGGCTTATTGGCAACAATAGTCCTGTCTAGGACTGTCTTTTAGGGCCCGATAAAACCGACCATGGAGCTCTTTGCCCTTCCATACTTCCCTGCGATCATTAACACTAAGTACTACAGGTCTGCGCCAATTCTCTTTAGCCAGAGCAAGCAGGGTGAATCCGGTATCCACTGCAACTACATTGCGATGCACTCCCATATCAGTATGTAGAAAATATTCTCTGAGATTGCATATCTCGCGATTATGTAGGGTCTTGATATTTAATAGTCCGCGACCCCCAAGCTTTCGCGGGATATACAATCTCATAACCGATGAACGTGGGTGGTGCATTCGGGATGCAGTCAGCAGTGTACGGACTTTCCTGTCAAGGGCATCAAATTCGGTCTGAGTCCATCTAAGTATACCATAGGAATACATCAGAACCGGCATGACCCAACCATTGCAGGCTCGCACCTTGTTGCCCCCTGATAAAAGACTTTTACAAACCGACTTTTACCAACAAGCGTTCCTGCAATGTTTGTTTCATGTTAGATTCTGGTATTCCCAACGACTGTGATATACCCAGATACTTGTAGGTTTCAGTGGCAGACAGACATCTGAGTTTTGTTGAATCTAAAAGCTCTATTCCTTCAGATTCAACTATCACACCCTTTACATACATGATTGCACACTTGTCTACACCAAATTCCATTTTGATAGAATTACTAAAGTTTTCCGTCACCTTTAGTAACTTTGTCTTTTTGTTTTATTTTTTTATTATATTATTAACTTTAAGCACGCCGCACTGCGATGAGGTCAGGAGCTACTTAGAATCACAGTGCACAGTAGCTAATGCCCTCTCCTCTTTGTATTTGCTCCGTGATTAAAACATACATATTCTAAGGCACGTTATTAAGTTTACCAATTAACAACGTCATTCCATTATATAACAGCCATTAAAATCATGTTGTTTCAATCTACCCTCAACTTAATGACTAACTACTTGTTTCAAATATTTAATCTACGATTTGTATTTTGCGACGTACGTTACATTATTCTATGAATTCTCAAAAAGTTACTCTGATGTTACATGAGTTTTGAGCCGGAGGCATTTGCATCAAAGTTCACCGCCATGCCTCTGAGGGACAGTTATGAATAACGTAGAAATTTGTTACTATAATCAGACGTATGTAGCGTGTGTGATACGTTAATAGAAGGTCGTAAGTGTTATAATGCTAGAACTTCCCGTACCGACCGTACAACGGTAACTCAATCATAACCGCAAAAGCTAATGAGCCAAGTGGCATTTGTTGAAATATTAGCAGTTTAAAGTGAGGCCTCTTCGTTATTGAATTTACATTAATGTTTATTTTCTATGATTGTGTGATATATAGAAGATAACAATGTAACCCTTTACAAATAGAATTCCTTCACTATGTATGTGTTTTCTTCTAAATTTAATACCTACATATGTCTGTAGCATACTGTAATTTAAAAACTTGAGTGTTGATTTTAAGGTATAGGTTATATAGATATAAAGAAAATTAAACATTTAATGTACACAAAATATAATTTTATTGATATATTCATGTTTAATAAATTGTATACATAACATCATCAAATATTATATTAAAACATATACATTTTCGTTATACGTTACATACTCAAACACAAATACAATATGAGATGTTATCCCCGTTAAACATATATCTCATTAATCTATAAGTGTTTAGTCTCAACACAATGCAGTAATTTCAATTGGCATACATGTTCAGCATCTAAACATGCCCCTTACACGAAGCTCATCGACATCAGATTTATTTACATTTCATTATTAAAGCATGTACATTTATAAAAGTCGTAGAATTCATTAGGCCTATTTACAAGTGGAATAAAGTTGGAATGCTTGACCGTAGTACACAATTTAGCTTGCCATCGGTGTATTGTACAACAGTGTAAAACTTACATAGGAACATCGATTCCTTCACTTGACCAATGATACTATATTCATATATAATGTCTAAAAAATAAATATTATATAAAGCAGTAATAAGTAAATAATTATTAATTGCACATCCTCGATATTATACAATTGTCGAAAATTAAATAATTTATAACAGCGTAAGCTGGGCTTACTATTACATTATGCCGTACGGAAATAGGCACAAAGTGAATTTCTCCTTTACTACGCAATCATATTAATAACAAATTCCAAAGTTCTTTAAAATCCAAAAAGTAACACGTGCCCTAGGAATGTTTCGGACAATAAATACAAGGATAAGTACTATAGAAAGTATAGAACAAGCTAATCACAGTAGAAGTAAATATTATATATTTACGATACATTTAATGCCTATTGGTGCGTCATTATATTCTCAACCATAAACAATAATAAATAAATAAATACACCAAGTAAACTCCAATATAACACGAAGCCTACGTAACAAGGGCAATATTCAATGTTACTTATTATGTACGACATTACCTTCACGAAACAACATTAAATCTGAATAATGATACTAAGAAACATCAAGTCCAAACCCCGTACAATGCTTTATTTACTCTAATGTGAATATAAATGATACTTAAATTCATTTCAGCTTATCTACAAGAAAAATTCGTTTATTAAAATTATATTTATATATGAACATCAGTTAACAATTTTCTAATAATTTTATTAAAGTAACAGACACCAGTATAGAAATTACATTTTAATTCTTATATTTGGAACATAATTTCCTATAATTGAATTCCAGTTCTTATTCTTATACCGGGTGGTAACAATCTCAATAATTCGTAATTTCTAAATTTATAAACAAATTATCTATATTATAAAATGTCATCAATAAAAGGTCATGTTCTTCTAATAAAAACAACAATATTATGAAGTTATCGACGATACAATATAATTAGGTACATCGATATTTTCAAAGTAGCATTGGGAGTATATAAAATCGGATTGTTTTCTGTGTTCCACGCCTGGTACGTCGCGGTTCTACGCTATTTACATAACTACGTACTCCACGGGCAATAGACTTAGCTACTAGTTATTCGGAACCCTTTATTGTGGACACAACTCGTTCAGCCTAGTCATGTAAATATCGCAGATACAGAATTTCATTAAAAGTTAAGCATTTCATTCATGTCTATAAACAAAGCATTTACTTTTAAAATCAGTCTCATTCGCATAAGGAAGTGATCACAGCACACACACTGGAAACTCGATGCAGAGCGAGAGGCCACAGCCCTCTTAAAATAACTTTAATAATAATAGAGCACCTCGATCTCTAACTTCTTACAATTAAACCTGATAGTCAAGCGACAGATCTTCAAATATTTAATTTTATAAAAATATCAAATGTATGGGAAAACTACAAAGAGGAAATACTTAAAATAGGAAGTACGTGTCGTATCAACATTTAAACAAATATTATGATTCTATACTCGAATACGGTAAAAACGAACGCATCGCCTCTAATACAGTTAATAAAATAATAAGTTAAAACAAGCATAGACTAGAATTATGGACATGTGAAAGTTTAGATACAACACAAAGGAGACACGATAGATTGCGAGACGAGCTTCGTCGGCTGCAAAAATATTCACTCTTAGAACGGCAATCTCACTTTGATGCAAAAAATACAAAGCCAGTAATATTCTCGGAGACACCTACTCGAACACGGTTCCGTCACAGCGCGGTCGTTGGCGGGCTAGTGGCGGGCCGGCGGGCGGCTACAGGCGCGCCAGAGCCCGCGAGCGCGCCGCCGCCAGCGCGCGTCACGGTTGCGCCTCCACCAGCCGCTGCAGCAGAACGGCCACGCCCACGGCCAGCAGCAGGAACAGCGCCGCCATGATGAGCGCCACGTGGCGCGGCGTGAGCGAGCGCGGAGGGCGGCGCGCGCGCACGCGGGGCGCTGGCGGAGCGGGCGGCAGCGCCAGGCGCGCCGAGCCCGACCACGCGCCCGCCAGCCCGCCGCGCACGAAGCACACGCGCACCACGTACTCGCCGCCCGCCTCCAGCTCCTCCAGCTGGAACTGGCTCTCGTGTCCGCTGTACACCTGCCACACAGAAACCTCACGTAAAGCACCCGTATGGTGGCTTAAAGAAGTGATCGTCTCGACTTTACAGAACATATGGATTGAATGCATAGTTGAGGCGTGGGATGTAACTTTCTGATACTCCATAAATTACACTGGGTGTATTCTATGTTTGTATTCTAGCAGTTTCATCTTCAACCATATTTGTATTGTATATAAGTTTGAAGTGTTTTAAAGTTTCTATGTGAAATAAAAACAAAGGTATACTTTAACACTTAAAATAGATTTTTATTTATTTGTCAATTTGGCTTCATTTCTTGTATTTCATAACTCTTAATATGTGGAAAAAGCTATAATTTAGTCTCATATATTTTAGGAAAACTCTAATGAAATATTTGCAAGACATAAATTAAAGTACGTGGAAATCTTCTCACCTGCTTGAACGCGCTATCCTTGCCGCGTGCACACTGCAGCACGTACTCAGCATCATCCAACGCGTCCCACTCCACGAGCGCGGCGCGAGGAGCGGACACGCTGAGAGTGGGCGTGCGGGGGGCGGGGGGTGGCGCCGCTATTGTCGCCGCCTCCATGGGGGTTGACCACGGCCCGCGGCCACCTCGCTCATCGCTAGCTCGTATCCGGAACGCATACGTGGTCGCCTCTCGTAACTTCTTTACCTTGCAGGAGCGAGCAGACCCGCGGTATACCGGCCGGAAGTCCCGCGCCTCAAACGATCGCATTTCTACGCAATACTGAGCACCCTCGCCGCCGACTGCAGGCCACTCCAGCCGCAGGCAGTTGTGCGCGGCTTGCACGCACCGCAGCAAAGGCGCCGCGGGCGGTGGGGGACGTGTGGCGGCCCGAGTCTCTTCCGACCATTCGCCGAGGCCTAACTCATTAAACGCCGCAACACGAACGCGGTATACCGTGTCCGGCGTGAGTCCCTCCACTAGGCGCTCCGGAGTCGGTCCGTCCGTGTCGAACTCCGCGTCGTCCACTCCGACTCGATAACGCAGCACTTCCGCCCCGTAACACGCAGGCACGCGCCAGTGCAGGCGCAGGCTGTCAGCTGTCGCCTCGTGGCGCAGGCCGGTTGGGGCGGCGGGCGGCGCTCGAGGCGTGAGCACGTCGCGCACGCCCGACCACGCGCCGCGCCCCGCGGAGTTAGTCGCACACACACGGAAAAAATACGGCGAGAACGGTGTTAAACGACCGACAAGGCAGTTTGTTTCGATGCCCTTGTACACTTCTGCAAACGCGTCGTCGACGTTAGTCGCGCTCATTTCGAGACAATAGTCGATCACGGGAGCACCGTTGTCCTGTGGTGCCATCCATTCCAGAAAAGCGGCACGCGCACCCTCGAGTCGCGCAGAGGGCACGTCGGGCGCGTCCGGTGGAGCCGCCGCCGTCGTAAACGTGAGAACCGGCGAGACTGGCCCGGCGCCGACCTTGTTGCATGCTGTGACCCAGGTACGATAGTGACGACCGGGAGTTAGATCCCGGATCACACACTCGCAGTCCAGGCCCTGGTACGCGAGACGAGCGGAACCACCCTCTTCGGCGACCTCGACGCGGTACTCGGTGAGCGGCAAGCCGCCGGTGCAGTCGGGTGGTCGCCAGCGTAACGACAGTAGCGTGGCGCGAGGCTCGGCGGCGGGCTCGGGAGTACCGCAAATGCTGGGACACGCAGCATCTGTGGTGACGGTCTCGGTGGCGGACCATTCACCTTCACCGATTTCGTTAGAGCAACGCACGCGGGCGCGGTAGAGAGTGCCAGGTTGTAGTCGGTCGCAGTGTGCCTCGCGTTCGGGTCCGCGATAAGCCGGTTGGTATCCTTCACCGGCGTCCAGTTCCAATGTGTAGCACTCGATGGCGGAGCCTCCGTCTTCGTTGGGCGGATCCCAACGTAGACGAACTGATCGCGAATGTATACGACCGCGTGGGGTCGGCCGACCGGGCATCCCAGGCCTTTCTGGGACAGTACGGAAGGTGACTTCGGTGGACCAAGGGCCCTGACCGTAAGACGTCTCACATCGAAGCCTAAAGCGGTAGTCCGTGGCGCGTTTTAATCCGGTACACCTGTAGGAATTATCGGCGCCGGAGTATACAGGTAAAAATCCGTGACCACGGGTCGGATCGTCCATCTGAAGCGTGAATTCCTCGTCGGCACGTCGCTCCCAACCTAATACTAGCGTGTCACTGGTGGCAGAAAGAAGGGTAGGCGGGGAAGGTGCAGGGGGCGGGGCTCCGGTCGTCCACGCGACTATCTCCTCACTCCACTCGCTACGCCCTACCTCGTTGACGGCGGCCATCCGGAATCGATAGCAGGTTTGCGAACGGAGATTATTGACGGTGTGTTGGCGAGTGCGGGGACGGGCTATCTCTACGAATCCCTCGCCGTCATCCATTTCGAGAATGTAGTGAAGCAAGCGCGCGCCATTGTCTTGCGCTGCGGCCCAGCGCAGCTGTAGCGCGGTGCGGTTGTGCTGCGTGACGCGCGGCGCGGCCATGCGCTCGGGCGGCGCGGCCGGCGCGCGGAACGTGGCTGCCTCGCTCGCCGCGCCCGTCAACTCGCCGGCGCGGATCTGTAGGCACACCGAGTATTCGCTGCCCGGCCTCAGGTCCCGCACCCTGTACAGATAAAATTGACTTACTAATCTATTTAATAGAAACTGTTTTTAGATTTATTATGGCATGCCAAAAAAAATTGAAAACGATGAAGGGATGAGGATATGCAACCTGCAAATTACATTTTTAAGTTTTGATTTGACCGATACTAACCTACAAGATAGAGAGGGCCCGCTGTAGATAGCCTTGTATCGACCGCGATCTCCTAATAGCAAATCGTAAGTTAACTCGACGTTAGGCATTATTACACCTTCAGGTACTGGCGAGTTCCATTGTACTAGTGCACTGGTTGGAGTCATTTCTCTAACCTAAAAACAATGGAAACACTTTTTAAATAATAATAATATTTAGGACGTCTGACACACAACGCCATTTAGTTTCAAACTAAGCAGAGCAGAGTTTCAAACTAGATTGACTGATAGTATGATACTGATAATAATTATTTACTTTTTTGTAAATACATACATATTTTACATAGAAAACGTCCAAACTCCGAAAGACATATTAGCAGATCATACACTTAATATTTGCTCCGACCCAGGAATCGAACCCGAGACCCTTAGCACAGCAGTCGCATACGCTACCACTGCACCACCGAGGTAGTCCATAACATGATAATGAAGTATTTTAAATACTTATATGTATCTACTTTGTATAGCTAGGTAATCCCATGCCTCTTCATTCCCAATCTGGAGCCATCAATGTATAGACTTACGACCCAGTACAACATTTATAATTAACCTCGAAATGCAAAAGAACAATGGCGGGTCTCCATACAAAAAAATATTTGGAATCAAATTGCACAGTCTTGTAGTGAAAAAAATATTTAAAAAATCGGCAATTTTTTAGAATCTACGTAAAAAACAATTTTTGTTTGGAAAAGGGTAAAAAAAAAAGATATTAGCATTTGATTTTTTCAGTTACGCACTGCACCTGTGGACTGTCTTTAAAAGAGTCCATAGATAAAGTCTTTTATAACATAGCTACTTAATGTTTAATTTATTTTATTAATTTGTCTATGGCTATCTGGACTTTACATTACTATTTGATAATTATATATATAACTGTATATGTGCCATTTAAATAAAAAAAAGATAATAAGGAATTATTATAGTCCACTAGCTGTAGAACTTTCGTAGGTTATATTTTTATGTCACTTTTAATGTGTCTGATGCATGAAATAATCATCTTATACATAAGTATACTTATTTAATTGGAGTATAATTGGATATAATGACTTAATATTACTTAATATTAATTACATAAGTATAATTGGATATTATATATGCGAATGTACATAAGTACATCCGCATATATAATATCCAATAAGTATATTATTCCTTAATTTATTACCTATTTCAACATGCAATGAATTGTAAATTCAAAACCTAAACTAATATAATCGGCGGCGGCCATTCGTGTCAGACGTTTAGCCTTTATTTTTAAACACAGAGTGCAAACATCTGTAAAGAGTTGTCAAAAAACCATTGCTTTTTTTTCACCTTGCAGTTGCCACTTTATTCTTTTTTTACTTCCTTATATTCCACTACAGGATTTTCAAATTCGTGAACAATGCGTTTAATAATGCACCACAAACTATATTATTTATTGATTCAGTACTTAGAATTATAAAACTATTATCTGATTACCATATTACTATTATGTGATTACCATATTATGATACTTTTTTGGACAGTATTTCCACTACATGAAAAATATGGCTATAAAATGGTAACACTAAACTGATAAAGGAAATTAAAACAATCAAATAAGCTTATAAAATTTTTCTTTCTTTTCCTGGGGTATGACTGACTTAGGTGATAGTTTCAAAAAACGTAGATATTTACTTTCCTGTTTCCTGATAATTAGTTTCCTGTGAATGACATTTTAAGACGCTCAAATTATACTCAACTACGAATTCGCCATTGTTCTTTATACAAATCAACGTAATACTCAAATTCGGCAAGTTTTCATACAGATATGAATAAGGCTAATTGAGTGAAATAATAATATAATATAATATTCTAGCATATATTCGTCACACAATGCCATCTAGCTCCAAACTAAGCAGAGCTTGTACTATGGCTACTAGACAACTGATATAAATACATATATACTTTCTTTTTTGTAAATACATACTTATTATACATAGAAACTCCCAGACCAAATCAAACATTAAATGTTCATGCACACAAATGTTTGACTTGAGCGGTAATCGAACCCGCGACCTTTGGAATAGCAGTCCGTTACACAAACCACTACACCATCCAGTCGTCAAGTCAAATCACACGAAATACACTAACGAAAATCAAATTGTAAAATGTTAATATAATATACACAGGACATTAAAAGTAATATGAAGAAAAAACATGATGTATGTACCTGGGGTGTACGTGTAGCAGACAATAAATCGAGCACTGCTTGCGTGTCATTGTCATCATCGCCATGCACAGAGGCACTAGCAGATGACCCTTCGCCTTCGGACCATGCTCCCGAAGAAGCATTGCCACTACCACCTCCACGTCCATTCACCTCTTTACGTGGCGACAATGAGGGCGTGCTTGCTCCTGAGTTCACTTCTGGTGTTAATAAAAAAACAACAGATAAAATTATTTCCACCATTCCACATAAGCCACTCCTTTCTATCAGCTTAATTTATTTATAATCTGGTTTTTCTTTAGTACGAATATAAATAAAATAAAAAATACTGGATGCCGACTGCCAAAAACCAGAATATTTGGGGGAGACGTGATGACTATGCCGAAGACGCCGTTTTTTCAGGATCTGTCAAACCAGGGCTTGGATCTGCCACCGATGGGCATTAATGTAGTAGGAACGAATAGTTCCATGGCTTCAAGTACTACATTAGTGACAGAATCGGCAACGACGGTGGGATCATCCGGCAAGAAACAGACCTGCCTCCATGGGTAGGACGCAAAGAAGAAGCGCATCCCATCCCAATCCGCTGACCTATAGTGCCATACACGACGGCAGCCTGCAACTCGCGGCCGCGGCAAGCACGTGAGTGGCACTGTACTGCGGATTAGGCAATGATCTGAGGAGCCAAGTGCGGCTTCAACGGCGATTTTGTAACCTTACGGATCAGAGGCCAGCAGAAGGTCCAACAGTGAAGGCTCATGACTTTCCTCAAACACATAATAAATATTTTTTTTTTTAAAGGTCATGGTAGCTAACATCTGTTAAACATTATTTGCAATGTTTCATGGTTGCTGAAACAATTAATTGTTTTCATAACTTGTATAACTCTTCTCTTTTCAAGCTTTATGCCTCAAACAGTTTACAGCCAAGCATTGTCATAACTAATATTTTATGCGCCTGGTACAAGCTACTGTAATTTCGCCCCATCACAACTATTTTCCAAAACATAAGATGCATGATCACCCATTTTAAGTTGGTTTGGTTATTTCTGTGAACACTACACTAACTTCAACACCTTTTTCAAATTCAACTCAGAAACAGCATCGTGACCCTTCTAACATTCTGCTAAGCAAAAATTCAAAACTTGTGAAATTTCCTGCTGTGATCTAATGCAGTAATGTATTCACTAATGAAATATTTGTAACTGCTCAGAATATCCAATTGCCCAGCCATGGAAAGCTGAGCCTTCTGTGTACAAGAACTATATCAAGAACTGAATAAGATCACCAGACTGTACCATAAACAATATTTACCTATGCCATTATTTCTATTACTGTCATTCCGGCTAGCTAATTTCCTCTTCATTTTAGTGTACTGTCGCTGGGTCCTCTCATCTTTTTGGTAGACAGGAGGTGGTGGGGAAGGCTGCATGTGGTGTGGAGGCACATGGTAGTAGCCAGTACCATAGAAATGTTGAGGTCCTCCTGTACCATTAGTTGGGCCCTGAAACATTTAAATATTATGTTACTTTACATATAATAGATTGAAATCATTTTTCAGTATGTTAATTAACTATGTACAATTAATTATTGATATTATCACTAAAAGTATTATCTTGTTGATAAGGTCAAAACAATTTAACTATCTGGCAAAAGCCAGTACAAGTTACAGGTATGTGAACTATTACTTCCACTCCTAACTGAATCCATATTAGCAATGAATTGCCTGTTATTGCATTGCCTTCACTACTTGTTACCTCTTTTCGCTTTAATGTACCAATTTCTTTAATGTACCAATTTCTTTTTCATTTTAAATTCTCAAAGTACTGGGTTGGTACCATATATAGGCTTGGTTTCTATTACATCGGTTTAATGTTCATCTTAATATTTACTGGAAACCCCAATTTGTTATCGTTTGAAGTTATGAGTATACAAAAATACTGAAGTTCAATAACGATTATTATCTGACAGTCTATTAAAATCTTTATCTTACATAATTATATTAATACATATATTTTAATAAAAGTTTAAACAAAAGTATCAAGAATAATATTTGTATGAAATTTAATTAAAACACTATCCACAACTAGTTGCTGTGATCACATAACCATAATAAAAGTTATTTGCAGCAATTATAACATTTGAAAGAAAATGTTTCAAACAAAATGTTCTTAAGTAATCTTCTCATATCAGTCATGTAAATGCTATTCCAATTTATTATACGCCTGTAGACTAACTTTAGTTATAAGCATATTGTAAATATTATATTATCAGAACTTATTTAAATGTTTAAATACAAACTAACCTGTGCATCTCCTGGAGGTTCATTAGAACTATTGGTTTTTGTTGGGTCAGAGTCACCCATGTTTAAAATGATTATTTTTAAATTTATAAATATAGAATATTTCTCAGTTAAAAGACGTCACTGCCACGTACTGAGCACCAACTGTTTTTCGTGATAAGACTCATACACTACACGACCAGTGCGATTAGATTAATGTTTAAAACTGCACAACTTCATTTAGTTATCGACTTACTGAAAATAGTCGGGTAACCTGATACGGCTTTGCGCAATTTTAAACGACATACCTACGAATGTTGTTAAATTTAAAAGCGAAACAATCGATTTAATCAACGAAAATGTTTACACAGGTTTCCCTAAATGCGATTGTTATTATAAAGTGACATCACTGAAACCCATTTATTTGTAATATTACAGCCCAAGAACGACTTTATTTTATAACTTATTAAACTGACTGACTATAAAAATACCTAACGAATGTTATTTAAAATGAAGCGCATTAAAATAGTCATCGATAGGGTCAACAATAACATGTATATTGTAAACAATTAACAAACTAGAGTTGTGTAGCTCCTGAGTGAGTGATATAAAAGAAATATATCATTCACGACGATAAAATGTATCACTCACTCACACTAGCTCCAAATATATCAGTAACTCAGTACTAGCTCACTAGATCACTAGCTCAACGACGCCGATCTTTGTTTCATGAGCGAGTGAGACTAAAGATAGATGAGTGAGATAGATGATGGTTGAGTTCACGCAAGTTTCTTTATGCAAAATGTACATTATTTCTATAGGATCAAAGTTTAATATCACTCAAGAATTAAGCCAAGTACAAGGAAAATCAAATTATGTATGATTTCTGTTATACAACCTAAAAAAAAGTACAAGAAATAATTTCTTATTTTTAATTATTATGTAAAAGGGTGTTAATAATTATGTAGGCAATCTTATCAAAATGAATAAAATTGTATTTAAAAAAAATAGGTTAAAAATGTAGTTTCAAAAACTGAATTTAGGTTAATATGAAAATAAAGAAAGGTTTGTATGGCGAGAGAGGCTTAAAGTGAGTGATATACGAGTATACTGAGCTAAAAGATCTAGATGAAGAAATGAATTAACTGAGAGGTGAGCTAAACGAGTTAGTGAGCTAAATGAGCTAGTGAGCTAAACGAGTTGGTGAGCCAAATGAGCTAGTGAGCTAGATGAGTGATATATATCTTTTGAGCGAAATGATATATATCCATCTTTTCAGCTCAGTGATACATTTTGCGCATCACTATAACAAACTGTCTTCGGCATTGAGTTAAAACAACTTCGGCGTCCACTTTGACATTTTTTTTATTGACAAGAGTTCGAACAGCGCGTTTTTACGTTTGCCATAAATAAAATAAGAGAAAAATATATACACTGAAAAACTTTACGAAATTTAAAATTGGATGTAATAGATAAATGAGAACATAGATTAATGAAAAGAAACAGCTATATAAAAACACATTCAAACTTATTTACCTATAAATCTTTGAAGTAAACGGAACGACGAGGAAAATTTTTTCATTGATCAAATAAAAAGTTAAGATGGTACCAAAGTAACCAAAGGTACTCTGTAAACAAAGAAGTGGGGTCAATTAAAACTACGCCTCACATGTTTATAAAACCGGCGTCACTTCGTTCTTAGCAAAGTTCGATCTTAACTTTTTTTATGTGATCTGAGCCTATATCATCATATTTCGAAGAAAGCAATTTCACGGTCATACGCAATAACTATATTTCTAATCGTCGATACGATACCTATAAGAGAAGATAATTTTAGTTGCAAAAATACTGATTGAATGCATTTATGGGTAAAAAGAATTCATGTTCCTGGCAATGTCGCCATTGTATTATTAAATTAATGCTTTGTAATATACTTTATAAATACATTAAATCAATCAATGTGTACTGTTAGGTGATTTTCGAACATTTATATTTACTTATATAATTTTTACGCGATATGACAGCACAAAGAATCATTTTTAAAGATTATAAAACAACGGCTCGTGACATACTTCACCAACAAACAATATTTTCCCGCGTGTGGCGAGCAGAGCGTGTGAAGTCAACAAACACACGCTAAAGATAACCTGCCAAAATTAGTATTTTGGCGGCTTATCTTTAGCGTGTGTTTGTTGTGTTAAGAAGTGATTTTTAAACTGCAAACAGAACATGAAACTATGAGATAACGGATGTTTCCGTAGGGATAGATCTCTTTGCACTTATCACTCTGAGATCTTTCAACTCTATTCAATGAAGGTTTTAAGGCCGGCAGCAGTGCTGGTTTTCTAAGCAATTGATAAATAATCTAATTTACTGTAAATGAATGTTGTAATGAAAATGGATATGCCTCCTACCAACACTAGAGAGTTATCTTAATATGTTATGTTCGCTTTTAGCAGCTACATTTTCACAGTTTTGTAAACTTGTTGTTAAGAGAAAACCAAAATTACACCTAGATAAATTACAACTAGAGGTTGTAATTTATCTATCGCTCATATCTCAAAATATTAAATAAGTAATTTCAAAAAGTTATATAATAACATTTTACATGTACATGAGCCTTATGAAACTCTAAGTCGTCTTGCAAGTTATTAAGTTAATTGCCGATCGTTGATCGCTAGAGATGGAAAACATTATAACTGGAAGAGAGCAGAGGAAATCACTGTCACATTTTAGAACATACATTTAAATTTTCATATATGTTTGTATCTCATCTTAAAAACACAGCGGAATAGATATAATGTGGTACAAACATAATGGTGTGGCGGTTGATGATGCTGGGGCGGTTGGTGGTGAGGCTGGTGGTGAGGCGGCTGGTGGTGTTGTGCGTGGTGTGGATGCGGCTGCGCATGCACCAAGTAGGGTCGCATGCTCTCGTCCATCACTGGCGGCATCATAGGCGGCATCATCGTACCTGACGTCACAACTGGCATGCCAGCTGAAAAATAATAAGGTCCTTGTTAAAACAAGTTCTAAGAATAAATTAGCGGATTTTACTTTTTATCAACATAATATAAACAGCCGAATATAGCCGATGCAGTTTGCTTTTGCTTACATTTTGGTTTAGTTGTCTTAAGACACGACGGCATGTCGCGGCGCGTTTGTGAATACCGAACTAATGTACGACCACGAGTGCGAGCTGTGATGGTACTTGTGGCATGAATTTAATGATCTTAAAAGAGTACCTACTACTATAACAATCTCCTTACGTACGAAATTTCCATTTTGAATAAATCAATCAATATGAGAAAAGATTGTCCGCCACCCAAACACATGTCCAGATGTGGGTGGTGCATTAGGTACGCGCTATGTAACAGTAATAATATATAGTTTATTATATAGTTATGGATATACTGGAGTATACAGTAATCTATAATACGCACGTCGGTTCGATTATTCCATGATAAACATGTAAACTTGAGTGAATTTTAAACAATTTCTGAGTGAATTTTGAATAAGGTATACCGGAATAAGGTAATACAATTGGCGATTTTATCGCTAAAAGCGATCTCTAACAGACAACATCAGCATGGATAGTGAAACTTTACGTAAAATGTTATTTCATGTTTACATATTGCTCTCGCTCATTTCTATTGAAAGGTGTAAGTAGGACAACTATTATTATTAGTATCATCATCATCCTAAAACCTTTTCCCAAATTTATTTGGGGTCAGTGCAATGAGTTTTCTTCTTACATTCTCCTTGATTGCTCGACATCCTCTTTCACGTACTCCTTCAATTCATTGCGAAATGGCGTTTTGGCTTTTTCTTTCATGGCCGGCCGCCTGCGTGAGGCCTTGGGCATGTAATCTTTTTTTTACACACTTTTACTTCTTTTCTCCTTCAGAAATATAATATTAAGTGTATAAACGCACCCGATAATGCAGAGACGACATACAGCTAAGCCAAAGTTCCGTTTAGATACATCGGCAGTCGCGCAAAGCCATTGGCGTATTAATTTCGCGTATTTTAACATTGATTACGAGTGTCTCTTACCAAGACTGTGAGTTTTTACATGTTGTTTTGGATGTTCGTAAAAGACGTTCTATGATGATACGCTGTTGAATAGCCGGCGGAAATGTTGCGCATAGTTGAGAACTAGTCCCCGTCCGCAGTCTTGAGCAATACCGTGCACTAGGAATCCCACGAGAGTTCTTTGTTTCGAGTCACGCTAAAAAGGTTTTTTTCAGTTTTAATTCACTACGATTACTAAATTCTCTGACACAACCTCTAATTGAATGTGGTTTGCTGAGCTGTCCTAATTATATACCGATTTAAACTGAGCTCAACAACATTTTAACATGAAATTCCTTTAAAAACTGTTCGGAGTTATGTTCCGTAAAATCTAGATTCAAGTAGTAAGCACTCTTAGCATAAGTCGTGAGTATACATATTTGATTGTTGACAGTTCAGTTATATGACAGAGGTCTTCGATTCTTAAAGCCTAGTTTACAAGCGTGCCGAGGCTTGGCAAACGTCCACAAGCTCCAAATCTTTGGAAATGCTTGGATGCCATTTACACGATTGAGAGTGCTATTGTGTTCCGGATAGGCAAACATAGCAGACGTGGACATATTTTTTTTTCAAAATATGAACGGCGGAACTAAACTAAAAAAAATATTCTCTTGCACACACACGTCACATCAGCAGCCTTTACTAGTCCACTGCTGGACATAGGCCTCTCCTTAGAAAAGAGGTTTTGGCCTAATATACCACGCTGGCCAGACGGGTTGGTAAAGGGTTTGTTTCAAGTTTTCCTTCTCTCTGCAGTGCTGTTGTCCTGCGTAGTTTGCTTCCTTAGTCGCCTCTTACGACACCCACGGGATGAATAGGGGTGGTGACACTCTGTATTCTTAATCCGTCACCACACGGACTACTCTTGCCCTACTGCTCAATCAGTAGAGCATTGAGACTTAATTTTGATTCCCGACTGCTCAACCACAATACTTGTAATATCAAATTAAGAAATAGAGAACAAGCATGCGCCAACGTGTAAATACGTCGCAAACGCTTGCCGCGAGCTTCCTTTGATCTATGTTCAAAAACCGACACTAGTACGACGACGAGCATACGCGAGCCGAGCCAAACACCCCGTTTACACGCTTGCGTTTGTGGACACTTGTCGAGGCTCGCCATGCGTGAAAACGGCCTCTTATATAAATTGTTGTTATTTGTCAGTAGTTTGGGTAACACTTATATTAGACGTACACTAAAGTGTCGTTAACCCCGTAAAAGCTTTTTATTCGATTCGAGTTTCTTTTTTTTTGAAAAATCATGACAATTATCATGACCTGGTTTTAAAACTCTCAAAATCAAAGCATGCTATTCGGCGAGTCCCAGAGTTGCTTCAAGTTACATATGTCTGTAAACCCATCGGGTGACGAGACCCGTCTTGGGTGAGACGGGTCAATACCTGTCGGGGGTGGCGAAAGAATGCAATTGCGATTCTCGCTCCCCCGGCCATTGGCAAGGAGAGGAACACCGGGGTGGTTTTTAATCGTTAAGAGTCCGACAGACCCCTTCGCCCTCCCCCATCGGGCGAAGGACATCCATGAGGATCCTCCACCGCGTTAACAAACAAAAAAATGTCTGTGAACCCATAATGTACTTACGTACTTACAAGGTAAGAAAAGCATGGTCATATAGCTAACAATTTTTGTTAACGGTAACCGTAACAACTCTTTACAATAGGAAACGAAATATAAAACGGCCTGACTTATCATGTCAAGGGCATGGTGTTACCCTTGGTTGACATACAATACTAAGAATTAAATTAAATAGACACTAACCAAAATCAGGAAGCACGGTGCACATATGCGGGTGCTGGGGATGCTGCGACGGGTGTGGACACATCTCTTGTGGTACATAGTATGTCTCGGGAGGGTAGTACTCGCCGTAATAACCATCACCAGGGCCAGCGCTGGCCCCTCCCCCTTCCGCGACCCCCACGCCCACCATGGCGGTTTCTAACACAACATGGCACGCTTGCGCCCGCGCCGCATTCGCTGCGTACACGTGTTTGCACACAGCCGCGACGCGTATGTTAATCTGCAACAATAGAACTTAAATTGTACAGTTGTGAAATTATTCGCACTATTATAGGATATTTCAAAACATATATATTTATGTAGTAAACACATATTTGTTTGCGCGAAGTCTCTCCTTAAAGTTCAGGATTCGCTTGTGATTTAATCTAAAAGCGCATGCGCTGTTTAACAGTGCTCTTCCAACAGATCTATGTGAAACGGTTTGGTGGGCTCCGGTTAGTTCCAAGCCCATAACCCGCACCGTTCTGTATAAAAAGAAAAGCGTAGTTCGATGCTCTCCGAGCCAGTCTGCGTGAATGGATCCTAAATGGGGTCGAACTTTGCCTTCTGAATGACTTTAAAGCAAACTTTGACTTTTAAACTGCTGCTGCATACTATTAGTCAATCAAGTCAATATAATAAAAGCTACAGAAAACAATTATGAGGCACGTATTTTTTATATATTTATATAGATTTTTTTTTACAAAAGTTTATAAAAGTCATCAAGTCATTTATAGAAGTTTCAAAGCTTTTCTCAATTAAGAAGCATACAAAGTAACTCCAATTATGATGTCTGGGGTTGATAACGGTCTATGGTAAGAATCAATAAAACCGTCTACTTTACTAGTACTTGTGCTCCTCCTTCTGATGAGCTTAGTTAAAAGCTTGGTTAGTATTTGTGAAATAATATTTTGAAGCTATTTGTAATATGACTTATAACATATCAGATGCAAAAGCATTTGAAATACCTATTACAAATTACATTTGTGAGCAGAAATTGAAATACAAATGCGTTTGTATTTCAATTACAAGTAAATAAAAAACTGAGTATCTATCTATGAATTGTATCTGTAGGCTGATGTTTCACTGGGTTTAAGCTATATTTATTCTTCTCTTTAAAAAGGGTTCTGTAAGAAGATAATGTATCGAATTTCATCATATTCCTAAAGCTTATTTTGAACATTGAATACGCTAGTGCAGTAAGTTGCACAAGCCGTTTCGTCACGTCAATATCGACACATCCGTGTGTGCACGTCGTGTCGTGATCGTATTTGCCTTTTAAATGGGATACTGTCGTGGCACCTCACGAGTTCTGCGTGGATGAGCCCGCAATCTGTGTCAGTGATTGTGGCTTGAGCAGCGCTCCTTGAAACCGTGACTCGTGCTCATCACTTTTACGCAAATTTGCGTTTTTGCATTAAAAATAGAACAATAATAAATATTAACCATATAATATAAATTAATGTGTTTATATTGTCAGTATGTGTGATCTCCGAACATGTTCAAATATTAACTTTTTTTTTCATCTTGCAAGCTTTTCTACGCTACTAAAGGCTGTCGTTTTCAACTCATTTTTGGGGTATATAGATTATATAATTCTACTAATGGAATACCTATACGCGCATAGACTTAGTTCGAAAACCCATCATTCATCATCAGCCTATCGAAAACCACTGCTGGACATAGGCCTCTCCCCTTGCACGCCACATAACAAATACAATATTTTGTTTTACTTTGAAAACTACTAACTTTTGTCGGCTATCATGAAAATCGTGTATTGTAAAACATTAGTTACCTAATTTGTATAAAGTCTATAACTACAAACGGTCCTAGATTTATTGCCAAATATTACGGTTTTTAAGCATAGTCAGGAAAGTTACTAACAGACACTACTTTTGGATTATAACAATAATTATCTAACAATCGACACCAACGTAAACGAATATTTATAATTGCGAGAAATATCCACAAACATTAAACTTATATGATATTCCCACATACATAACAATTTAATGTTATTTGATACTTTTTGTCATGTTTAACTAATTGTTATTTTTTGTGCGACCATGAATGAGTTAGCAATAAAATACATCGTGAGTCACTCACAACAATACATGTAGTCATTCATGTGCGCGGAAGGGCGTATTGTGGTTTCAGGCTTACACATTGTGCACTTTAAACAGTTGACGTATATACCAACAAGTATATACATATATACATATCCTATTTACCCACATTGCAAATCCATTACGATGAGACGTTCAATAAGTGTCATTATGCTGGCTTAACAAGGTGACGGTAACAATGATTCGCTATTCCTGGTGATCCATTGATTTAAAATTGTGTCATACATTTAAAGGAAAAAAGGCGAAGAAAGCTTTGTCAGTACAAATAATATTAATAGGAATTTGGATTAAAGATGTAAGTAAGAGTGAAGATTCATAACTTCAGTTACCAAAAGTCGGATGCATAAAATGTCTTTAGAAGAATGACGCTTATTGTACGATTTTGCTTTTCTCTTATGTTATAAGTATAACCGACTTAAAAAAAGGGTCTCAATTCGGTTTTATTGTTTTATATTTGTTAACATTCATTAACCGATTTGGACAACTCTATTTTATGTTAATGCCGAGGGTATGCTTCTCATTTAGTCCCAATACAATTTAAAGAAAACATAGTACCCCTAAGGTAAAGAATTTGGAAATGAAAGATACAGTTTATTAAATATAATGTAACGAAGAAGAGATTTATGTAGTATTGTAGATACGTCTTCTCGACCATTATGTTCGTACATAATGCAATTTTATTAATAACTTGACTTATCCATGCACCCCTATCTCGGATACTGGTTAATAAGTATTTTGTTTTTCACGCCTTACTTGACAGTGATTGATTACTGTAATAATATTACAGGAATGTGTGATTCATTCGATAACAATGTTTTACGTACATACTCTAACTTTTTTGTCTTGAATATACTAATTGTGGCAACGCACATGTGACTTTTGAGTTCATGGGGATCATGGGCGGCGGCAGTCGCTTACCATCAGGTGATCCTTATGATCGCAAGTATTACAATTTATTTAATTGGTATTATCATGAACGCAGACAGATTCTGTAACTAAAAAGACTAAAATAATATGCAAAAGAAATCATGCCATTTCATTTTAATCCTATTAGACATTCGAGGAAAACCAATTAAATTCTGAAGCAAGGGCCATAAAAGTATTTTCATTAAAATTATTGGCGTATTTGAGAGCGAATTATGTTGGTATGTCAAAGAGGTCAGGTCTGAGTTAATTGCGTTTAAAAAGTTAGTAATAGTAATTTGAGAACGATACGAATAAAGATCATTGTAGAAGTTTATTATACACAGACATAAAGATACTGAATAAAAATAAGGTAATTCCCCATGTTTCTGAATACGAACACAGTTTAGATGATAGCAAACATTTTATTCCTTATCTCTTGTAAGTACGAGACGGGTAACAAATATTCATGTCCGTTTGATAACAGTTTAACAGAAAAATATGCATTTCCGTTGAAGAATTATACTCGTACGCTACGTAACTTTATTGTCCTACTTATGCAGTAAAAATTGTCATTTCATTAATACCTAAGTCATTTAGATTGACGGGTTTACGTAACAATAGTTAGCTATATCGTAAGCATTATTCAATGAGGTCTCTAGCAGGAAATGTCAAATAAAGTTCATGACTATTATTTCGTATCGTCGTACGATGCCGAAAGTTTGTTCTTGGATATTGCAAAGGTTGAACAGATTAGAGCGATAAGGCCTAAATTTTGAAGAAATAAGTACCACAGTTATAAGTACATAAATATTTACAATATATGTTTTACGATAACATACAAAACTACCAGTCAGGTAGGACTTTTAAAACAATAACCACTTTAAATTTCATTTTTCTATTTAAGTGTTTTGTTTTAGTAACATTTCAACTAACTCCATGGCCAAAAACCCGTTTTAAAGTTAGCCGCAACTTAGTAGTTTTATATCTACATCCTCACAGAATCCTCTCCGTGTTTCCTCTTTAACCTAATAACGAGTTAAAGAATTTTCCGTTCGTTTTGAACGTACAGATACGTGTAAGCGAGGTGATCATGCTCGGCGGGCCGCGACTGTTGATGGTAGGAAGTTGTAGCTACACTAATCAACGCGAGTAATTGTATAGCGCGGTTCAGGATTCATTTACACATCTCGTACTTACAAGTGGTAAGGAATAAAACGTTTGCTATCATACTTTTTCCTGACTTCTGTACGTCTTCGTTAGATGGCGTTGTATGAAGTAGCGACAAATCCTAAAAGGGTCACCTTGTTATCCAGTCTATGTAATGGTTAAGACATTTTTTTCTTAGGAACATGATGAAGTATTAAATACCTTTACGTGTAAAAAATACTTTTTTTAGGTCAAACTAGAACAAAACTGACTCCCTTGAAGTCCCTCCCGCTGACTCGAGTGGAAGGAACTCCAAGGGTGACAACGCACTTGTGACTTTTGAGTTGCAGGTCCATGGGCGGCGGTCGTTGCTTGCCATCAGGTAACCATCAGGTAACAGGTAAGGTTTTATTACATAAACGAGCAGACTCGTTTATGTAATAAAAAAAAACACTCGTTCGCGAGTGAGACACTTGTCTAATTCTTTTTATTTTAAAAGTTTATCCCTTTTGACTAATTTTTTTTGGTAAAAATTTTAAAGTAGGTCTTAGCATTTAATTCGGGGTGGGGCAAAATTAAGAAAACTAGACAAAGAAGACTAAAAGACTAGATTGGAATTGAATATACCATTTCCTTCTAACCTTATTTCAATAATTACCTGCGAGAATGTCAGCAAAACCTGATTACAACTTAGCTTATAATTTTATTTTGTTGTTCCAGAAGCCTTCCTTCTTGCTTCATTACGTAGAGGCCGACAAGTCACTTTTCTGTCATTTTCGATCGTAGCCAAGTTTTTTCCCTGCGTAAAATACCAAAAGACCTTTTCTGGTTCTAACTGAATTGTTCTTTTTATTTTATGATAATAGGATCAAAACGTTCAGGAGACGCATTAAGTTAGTGCACTTTTAATAATGGCAGCACTGAACATAGTGACTCAACTTTGGTTTCAGGTTGAGGACCTTTTGTAATGGCGAATGTCTTTTTGCCCAACCTCGAAAAACCACAATAAAATGTTGAAACCTAGACAGTAAACTCCTGTGAAATAGGCACCTCGAAGATAAAC